CCAATTTTCCCATGGTTACAGTTACGTCTCTCCAAACGCCTTCCATGTGGCCGTTCCAGATGATGTTACACTTCTTCCAAGACAAGGGCACATTGCCCCGTCTGCTGGTATCTACTCAGTCAATAAAAACCAAACTTCTTCTTCTCCTCTCTCCATCTGTATCTCCCTTCATCTCATTGAACCTCTCAGGTCTTCTAAAAAGCCTGTCCCTGGTATGTCGCCGGGTAGACTTGTCCACGTCCACCCTGACGAGGGCCCGGGGAGTACTGGCCCTGTTGCTGCTGCATGAATCGGGGATCCATTATCTGAGGTCCGGGTGATTGGCGACCCTGGCGCATGGCCATCGGGTTAGCATAAGAACCTCCCTGGCTGTATCCGCCTCCTTGGCCGCCAAAGTTGCTGACTGCACCTCCGTAAGTGCTGGCCGCGCCGCCGCCGTAGTTGCTCGCGGGGCCGTAGCTGCTGCCCTGAGCGTAGCCGAAGTTCTGCGCAGGCCCGGTTGCGTATCCGTTGGGCTGTCCTCTCGGCTGACCCATTTGGCCCATCTGTCCCATCTGACCCATTTGTCCCATTGGACCCATTTGGCTCATTTGGCCGACAGACATGTTGCTCTGAGTGTACATGCCCTGAGGGATCATGCCTCCAGGAGACATGGGCTGCTGTTGCTGGGCATACATCTGTTGCTGTTGGTAGACCTGCTGTTGCTGCTGACGTTGAAGCTGCTGCTGGTAGACCATGGCTTGTTGCTGCTGGCGCTGGTTGATGGCTTGCTGCACCGCCTGCGTGTTCATACCCTGCTTGGCCCGCTGTCTCTCCTGCTCACGGGCGTGGATCGCGCCAACCAAGCCAGCTCCCTGCTGCTGCTGGTTCGCATTGCGGTTGCCGGCCATCGTAATGAGCGGCGAGCCCGTCATGCGAGCGACGTGCTCCTGTTCCCGCGCCGACAGGTGAGATGACACCTCACCACTGCTAGTCATGTCGAGAACGGCGTTGGCGCCGCGAGAGCCGGGACGCTGCAGGAGGTCTGCCGAGCTGCTGCGAGAGTGACGAGCGAGCATCTCCTGAGAACCGCTCCGGGTCATGGCGGGAGTCGGGGTCATCGATCGCATAGTAAGGATGTTGCCAGAGGGCGTCCTGTTGTGCGCGTACATGGGAGCAGTCGGTTGGGCAGCGCGCTGCTGGACAAACTGCTCGGCGCTCATGCCTGGACCGCTAGGAACAGCGGCAGCGCCTGGTTGCCAAGCGACCTTCCTGACCGTTTCCTCAGACTCTTGACGGTTATGGCTGGGGTCATTGCCAGTAGGAGACTTCATGGCCGCCGGGGAGAATGGTCGCTGAGGGCCGGGCATGGCTTGATAGGTCATGGGCGTAGGTGTCTTGTTTCTTGCGGGTTGATTGGCTCCGTAGTTGACGGTAGGCCCAAAGTTGACATCAGGAATGGCGAACTCTCCATTGTCAGAGTCGGCGCCGCCCACGGTCTTCAAAACACCTGCTCTGGGCCGCTCGAAAGACTTTTGAGAGCGCTGTGTCTCGCTGGACTTGCGGCTGGCGTAGTCTGGGCTTGCAGTTGACGATGCGTCGTCGTAGTAGCTAGCATCGCTCCTCTGCGTCTGAGCTCTGTTGATCTGCTGCTCGGGGACCGGCGTCCGCTGTCTGGGGTCGCGGGGTTGGATTTGCTGGAATCCCGCCTGATCGATAATGTTGTTGCCCCAACTGCCACCGCTGGAGGCCGAGATGGGCGTCTGCTGCTGAGGGCTTCTCAAGCTGTCCGATCGAGTCGGCAGCGGTTTGCGCTGGAAGGCGGGGTTCGTATCGATTCCGGGGAGCGGGACACCGCGGCCCTGAGCTCGAGGGTCTCTACCGTGCGGAGGTGGGGGCGGTCCCATCGCCTGAGGGTTCATGCCGCGGTTTCGCATTTCCGGAGTAGGCACTCGGCCTGGTCCACCCAAGGGGGGAGTTCTTGTGCCATCGGGTCGCGAAAAGTTGCTGAACGACGGCTGAGGACGGATCTGAGGGGGATGTCCTTCAACTGGGCTTCTCATCTGCTCAAGGCCTTCCAAGTGTTCAGGAGGGGGAGGGGGTCTCGCATCTTGAGGGCCTCGACTTTGAGGATTGGGAGGCAAGGGACCCTGAGGGTGAGGGCTGGGGGGGCCGAACGTCTGCTGGGCAAGGGGCGATCGGGAACGCTTCTGGTTCATGGGCGGAATAGGGGGCGGAAGACCACCGGAGGGAGGAGGGGTTTGGTTAGGGGTCAGAGCTTCACGAGACATTGTATCGTTAGCAGTGCCTCCTACATGGTGGTCGGGATAAGCTTGAGGATGTACCAAAGGACCAGATGGCGCAGCATCCTCACCACTCCTCCGCTCAGACGACGCATCAGATGGGCTATCGGGGGGGATCACGAATCCTCCTGCCTTCGTCAACTGGGAAAGGGTAGTGTTTGACAATCGAGTAGTAGCCCTGCGAAGATCTGGAGAGTGGTAAGGTTTGCCCGCAGGCTTGGAGTTAGGACCGTAGTTGAATGCAGGGGGAGCGGCAACAGGCTCGGGCGACTCCATCTGGCGCACAGTTCCCTCAATCTCTCGCACCGGCGTGCTCCGGGCTGTGTCTTCTTCAGAGCTCTGGGTTCCTGAGCGAAGAATACCTCTCGCCGGGGGCGGGCCACCCGCTGGTGAGGGACCTCTGGCTGGCGAACGTGCCGGTGAGTTGTTGTAGGAGTTGCTGTAGGAGCTGTCGTAGCCACGGTCCTCAGGGCGCTGGGGTGTGTGACCAAGCAGATGAGGGTCCGAAGAGTTGCGTGCATGGTTTGCTTTGTTCATGATACCAGCCAATGCAGGAGGCGCACGAGAAGTCGTGACAGGTGTACTCTCTGAGCGGTTGGGTGCGCCCAGTGACATGGATCGAGAAGACCGGTTTGAAATGGCATCAGATGCAAAGCCGACTCTAGGCTTGGCCGGCACAGGGCTGGAGGTGCCATTGCCGAAGCTGAGACGGTTGCTCTTCTTGCTTCCACTTCTTTGACGCGTGGCTTGGGACTCATCCATCGCATTCATTCGCTTACCAGTGAGCTCCTTGAGCTTCTTTCTCCAATCACGTTCGGACCAGCTTGAGCTGCCTTCTTCCAAGATCAATCCAGTAACGTCAAGAATCTCGAGGTAACCGTATCTTCGGTGCTTTGGCATGGCAAACATGAGTGATCTCGGGTCGAGGACACTGGCTACTAGTCTGCCGGGGCGGCCGTAGAGACAGAAGGTATCCCAGGTAGGGAAGAGGAAGCGCAGCAGCATCTCAAAGCCGCTGACGGCAGGGTGAGTTTCGGGCATGATGAAGACGAAACCCTCGGTGGACGACGGCGGGTCAGAGTGGATGGTGATGTTTCCCTCGATCTTAAGGAGCGTTGATGCATCAATCAGCGACTTGGCCTGCGGGTAGATGGCGTAGGAAGAGTAGGCATCGGTAATGGTGGCAATGGGGCGAGCCTTCTTTTGCTTCTTGCCGTCCTTCTTGGTATCGTAGAACTTGATGTCTCCCTTGAGAATCGGGGTGGAACGATCGTAAGGCGACTTTTTGCGCATCTCCTTCTGGGCCCTTGCATACTCCTTCTCGTCGGGGGGAGAAATGACACACCAGCACCGTCTCCAGGGGACTCCGGCGCCGAATCGTACACGCACCCATTCCTCGGTCTTGAACTTTTGTCTATCCATGATGAGGTTGATGTTGTTGAGAGACTTGCCCTTGCCGGCGATCAAGGCACCGGTGTACGCCTCCTGCAGGGTCGAGTGCTCGTACATAGCGAGCCTGATGCCAGCAGTCCATTGTATTAGTGAATGGTGCGAGTTGAAGTGCAGCAGATAACGGTTCCTGCCGGCAGTTGAGACGCTGAGGATATTCTGCAGCGGCTGTTCGTCATTCGATCGTGTTGGTAGGGATTCGATCTATACGCCAAGGACATGGTAAATTAGCACTCGTTGCATCCCCCGCACCGTCGTACCTGCCAATGCTGCCAAATCTGGCTGGGGCATGGCAGTCGGGGCTCGACATACCATTTTGATCGAAGCGTCAGTCAAGTTGATGAATTTGGGGAGGATCTCGCCGTCCTCGCCAGCGGCATCGAGCTCTGCGGCGTCCCATAGTGACAATACGGTTCCGACAAGCTGAGCGAAGCACTCAGTCCAGGTGCGGTCGGGATTGGGCTTGCCCTCTATAAATTTGGTCAGTGATCGGGTCCGAGTGTTATGCGCGTCACCACCACCAGCTCAGGTAGCTGCAGGCGCAAAGGTAAAATAAAAAGCACTGGGAAAAAAAATAAAACTCACGTGTGTTTTGGTCGTCCAGCTTTAGGAAGTAGCCCTCCTGGTACAGCTTGTTCGCATGGCTGTTCAGGAAAGTGAAGATGGGCTGAAGCTCGGGAATGGTATCTTCGTTGATATCCATGAGGGGCGGCTGGTATGGCATTACCATCGAAAGTGGGCGGGAGGAGCTGCGTTGGCGGCCAGTGACGTATCTAGGGCTATTTACGGGCGAGCTGTTGGCAGTTCCGTTGGCGGGCGATGACGCATATTCGGATGGTGGACGCGCGGGCGAAGTAGGGGTTGCGGGGCGCTGGCCGAAACTGGCGGGCGGTTCTGGAAAGGGTTCTGTTTTTTGGGATTGAGATTGTTGACGTTGATGTTGTGTTGTTGGTGGATTTGAAGTCGGGTGTGACTTGAGGTTGTATGGAGGAAAAGGTGTCGCCGCGTCGGGGGGAGGTGACGAATTGGGAGTTGGCTGGTTTGTCTTGCTGCCGTCCCTCGAAGTGGCAGAAAATTGGGACATGAATGAGAGGACTGTGGTGCCCATGGAAGCGGATTTGGTCAGCATGGTTGCGCGCGTGTCTCTCTTCTCTCTGTGTCTCCTTCCGAATCCACACAGCTACACCTCAGTGATACCAAATACAGGCAATTAAAAAAAATCAAAGCCACTGGGTCATAAAAAAGTAACAATATCGCCCTGGTACCCGACTAATTGGCCAGGACCACCAACTGGCCGGGGGTGAGCGGATGTGAGGGGGATTGCGAAGGGAGGAGCGCAAGGGGAAGAGAGGGATCCCCGGTGGACGAGCGAGAAGGACGACGGATGGTGAGGATGGCCGAGCAGGGCGATACTGGGGCGGACGGGTAGCGGCAGGGAAGACAGAGGCAGGAATAGAGTGTTTTATGGCGAGGACGATGGTTCAGGATTCTGGTGATGCAAAGCCATCCAGGACCAGCGGAGGACAGAAAACAAGGCCGGGCAAGGGTATTTGATGTAAATGCCGCCAAACAACAGCATTGCGCAGTAAAAGGGATATTGGGCATATTAGGATTGGGATGCACGCCAGCAACACGCGCCAGCGCGCAACCAAAAAAGCCTCCTACGCATGATGGTCCGGTGCGAGCCTGCAAGGACTGGGCTGGGCTGGGAAACTTGGGAAGCTTGGGAAGAAGGGGGGTGTGTGCCAACTGCAGCAACTTGCGCTAAGAAGGCTAACAAGATGGGAACTTGGGAAGACTATGCGACAAGAGCTGGAAGAAGGGAATGTGGGAGCACGAACCTCGATTACGGCCCATCTTTGCGGCTTTGCTTGACGCCTTGCTCGACGTTTTGCCAAGCCAGCAACCATGCAACCAAATTACTGAGAGACAACCACTTGCGCCGTGCGCGACCAAGATTGGTCTTGGATGAGCAGGACAAGCCTACAAGGCCCCCTCTAGCCCGTCGAGACGAGGATGCGAGGAATGGACAGAGATGCGATCGCGCGGGAAGGGATTCGGGGATTCGAGGGTTTCGGAATCGACAGCTTCGGCCCTGGGACTAGCGCAATTCCTCTGAATGCTCGGTAGGGGGGGACGTTACGAATCGGGGCGAGTTAGAGACTGGAAGGTCGTTCGTTGGATTCGTGGATCTCTCCGGCTTTAAGATTATCGTGTGGTGGTAGTGGATGCGATGCGATGTAATGGCCGGACGAGCTGTGCGCAGTACGCAATACGCGGTGCTGTATCCGTACGATTACGGGTGACTCGGCGGCCGGGAGGGAGGTTGCGCGGTCTGTAAGGTAATCTTAAGATCCGACTGACCGACGAAGCACACACTTCTTTGCGCGGCGAGCACAAAAAAGGTGGAATTAATATGGATGATGGAACGAATAAAGGGACCCAGGCGAACAAGTAACGAAGTTTCGGGACGGGCAGCGATTAGGATTCAGCCATGGACATCTTCGGGTTCCGTCTGTCTGTATGTATGTACGTGTCTCAGCGCTGTTGGTGTTAGAGCGAGGTTAAGTGTAGTCGATGAAGAGAGAGATTCGAGATGACACGAGACGGATCGAAGAAGCAGGACAACCAGAAAATCGGAAACCAGGAAAACAGAAAGAGGGAAGAAAGTCTGAAAAAGGTAGGAGAATCCCCGAGATGATGTATGAATCCGTACCCGAGCGAGTATGGAGTGAGTGTCAAGGTAAGGTAGGTATGGATGGATGGAGAGAGAGCATGGAGAGCATGGAAACGACGGGAACGTGTCAAAAAAGACCCCCAAGCACGAGGCGTACCTCTGAGAGAAACTCTGAGAGGTACTTTGAGAGGTGTACCAAGTACGGGAGTACCTCCGGGAGTACGGGGAGTGAGTGAGGTACCTACGTACGGAGGCGTATTATGCAACAAGAATTAGCAACACCGCCTACTTCTGCGACCTGCTGTTTCCTCACTCTTCTCTCGTACCCAGTCACCGTCACCGTCACGCAGGTCAGTCGGCTGCGCTGCAGCAAGGTAGCAGCAGTTTGGCAGGTGGTCCCAGACTCCCAGGTCAAGGTCCCGGTCCAGCAGAAACCAGACCAGAAAGATCAGCTCAAAGGTCAGGCAAGGTGAGGCACACAGGCACAGGCACAGCAAGGCAAAGGCACGGCCACAGGCGACCACGACCAGCAACACACCAAGGCCCTTCCCCCGGGAACAAGAGCCCGAACGACGTAATGGCGTTGGGTATGCCGGGGGGTCTGCTGTGCTGTCTACCTTGCTGCCGTCCTTGCGTACGCACAGGCTCTGGCGGTCGCTCGGGCTGGGCTGGGCGGCCGTGATCTCGACGACGACGACGACGACGATGATGATGTTGATGACTCTGTCTCTCCCGCTACTCTTTCGGTGTCGGCGGTGCTTAGTCTCCCCCCGACAAGCGCCGCACTATCTGATTGTGGACTGTCACTACTGTCGTCTGTGAGGTGGGAACTTTATGGAGAACACTATGAGCCGGCCTTCCACCTTGGGCCTTTGGGGTACGTTGCTAGTTCTCTTCGGTTGTCTTTTTAGCCTCTTCGACCTCCCGGTTTTTTCGAAACTTTTCAGGTTGTGCTTGATTCCATTTCCTGGTTTCTTCCGACTTCCTTTTCGTTTGTCTCTGTTGCTTCAGCTGCAGTCAAGACATTTCTTTCACTTTACCGACTCTTCTTGGGGTTCCTGCAAGGGATAACACATGCCTACGTATACTGTTCACTCATGAAAGTAAATGGCTGGATAGATGGAGAATAAAAAAGAGAGGAGACGATGAATGCGGTCAAAAGGTACTTCCAGATACATACCTACCTCTCTCGCTCTCTCTCCCCCGGCCCCAAAAAGTTCAATAGCTTGCGGATGAGCCGGACGATGCAGCACGTCAAGGTTCCTTGATCCGCCTTTCGGGGCTCAGAGAGGTTGACCGTCGACTCGTCGAGAGACACACGGAAAATCCAAGCCCTTGGCCTGCCAAGACGAGCCAGCATCCGGGCTCTGCGGGCTTAGGGTCTTGGTATTTTGTGCTCTTTTGGACGGGATCGATGGGATGCGTTGCTGCGTGCATCGGCATCTGCTCATTCTTAGTCTCTTTTCCCCATGCCCCCCCCCCCCCCCCAGCCCAGCCCAGCCCAGCCATTTTCCGACTCGGTCCTCGAGACTGTGTGTGCCATGGGTGGTCTCGTCGTAAACACTGCTCTGGCGCCTAGGTACGACAAGCTGAGCCGCAAAAAAAAAAATAGGATGTAACAGAGGGCGCAAAAGCGTGTAAGACGGGAAGTCTCGAATCGAACCAAACGACTGGCGCCGGCGCAATGGGAAGTGGCTTCGGCGCTACTCCATACTTCATCCGTACTCCGTACACAACAGCGAGTTATTACCAACTCACTAGTTCGACAACTCGCGAGCAACTGGACAGCGGTTGCAGTTGTCGATACCTTGGCTCGTCGAGAAAAAAAACGTGCCAGGGTACGGCGGTCCGTAGGTCTAGCGTACCACTGTTGTTCCCAAGCAGGGGTAATGGGGTGGGTGGACGCGCAACGCCTTCCCTCTCACCCACACACAACTTCACAAGTGGACAAGACTCTACGTAGAGAGAAAGAGATCGGGTGGATGAGGCGATCGCCTGGCAGAGGACCGGCCGGAGCACTGCATGCATGCAGATGGGGGGAGGTGGGCGGTTCCAAACGAAATAAATGCGAGGTCGGGACGCCTAGCTCGCAACTCGCAACTCCTTGGCTAACCAGTCGACCCGTACGAGTGAATAAGGTAAGGCGCACTAGTAGCGGACTAGGGATCTGACAGCGCAGGCGCCGGTGTATTCGTGATCCGTGCCGGGGCAGGCTGTTGGGGTTGGGGTGGTGGTCTAGACATGAGGTATTATCCGTGAGATATCTCGGGACAATGTATCCGTTCTTTTCGATGCGGTGTGAAAGTTGCCAAGTTCGAGGTGAGAGATATCCCGTAGTCCTTTGTTCCGACACTCCTCTTTGCGTCTACTGGACTATTCTCAACTGTTCTGTTTGTGTATTTTCCTTCTTTCGTATAGATAAACCTCGTTTCCCAGTGTCTCGTCTTAACTCTTTGCTTGTAGAGGCAAGGGAGTTTGGTTCTTCGACGGTCTACCACAGTATGATGCGCCGTTGTAGGGGGCAAGAAAAGAGCCCCGGGAGATGCGCCACCTGCCCGATCCACGAGTCCACACCAGATCCCCCCCCTGGGCCACACACCGTGGCTCTTGCGCGTGGGCTGGGGCTACTTGGGACGGATTAAGGCACCACCTGACCGTCTTGTTCCAGAACGTGGAGGGCTTCAGGTTTTGGAAAAAAGAGGCTGGGTTAGGTTTTGGGGGCCAAAAGGGGGGGATGAACCGAAACGGACAGACCTACGCAGTATGGTTCAGGTTCTTTCTGCTCACTGGCTTCTTCAACTGTCTCTATTCTGAAGATATCATGTGTTCGGTGCAAATCATTGCCGAACGCTTTCTGTTAGGAAGCTCTGCTTCTGCTCACTTGCTTGTAGGCTGTAGCTAGGAAGCAGGGCTGGGCGTCTAGGCTAAAACTCCGTGCATCCCGAAGTAAAGTCGCAACTTGTACATAGAGACAGACGGAGCTAGTCTAATCATGGAGTTTCTGATTCACCTACCGCACTTGTCTTGAGTCCCGCGTGGCTGTGCAAAGAAAAAAAAAAGTAAAGTGGTTGGAGATTTGGAGAGCCAGCACTCTCCGTAACCAGTAGCCGTAGCCCATCTCTCTTTCGGACGGAGGATCGCAAGTCATGCGGTGCCCGCAGAAAGCGATCGGGGTTGTCGGGTGTCACGTTCGCGAGAGAGAGAGCATTGTTGTTTGGGCCCCCAAGTTGAGTTGTCAGATGCCCGCCCGCCGTCGCCGCCGCTATTCTTCACAAAGTGACAGAACCACCCGGTTCGGCCGTCACCGCAAGAGTAATGTCCGCTTCGGTCTCGGTTCTTGTGTCGGTCGCCCTTGCGAGTTCCGTTGGAGATTTGACATGATATCTCTGCCTCGCGGCCTGCCTCGCACCGCTACGTATGCCTTTTCCAGAATCGAATTCCGCATGCCCATGACAGTCAATGGTGGTCATGGAATTACGAGCAGGGTAATTGTAATGTTGGCAAAGTACTCCGTAGGGAGACATGTTCCAAACAGCTGCAATCAGCCAGTGTCGCGGGAGGGAGAGTGTACCTACGCTTGCTGGCTTGGCGATCCGTCCTGACCACCCAGTCGCGACTCGCCATGAGTCCATGCTAGAACATCACTTTCTAACAAGGAACATCTTATCGTCATCACAAGGTCCTACTCGATCTTCCAGTGTCGGCCGGGAACTGTGTTTCAGTTCTTACAAGTAAGGTTGGCTTCTCTCTAGACTCCATGATCTTTTAGTTACGGAAGGGAATCTAATAGTCTTCCAACGCTACAGCGTCTTTCCCCGGCCCGATGAACCACGTGTGGTTAGGTACTTGAGGAACCTTATCCGACAAAGCTCCTCCTTCCCTGTATCGTCTAGTGCTTAGGTCGATACAGATATCTACTTATGCCTAG